CTGTCTCTGTCTCAAAAATAAATAAACATTAAAAAAAAAAAGCATTAAAAAAAAAAGAATTACTAATATAAACTCAATTTAACTCTATAATATGGATATGCCTTAAAAAATGACATTTATTTTTTTCTCCTCCCCGTTACTTCAAGCTCAGCATGTTATATCCATTCTTGACCTCTAGCTCTTTCTTTACTATAAAGTTCCTCATTCGGAATTTTCTAGAGCATTATTTCATATCATTTTCAACTCTTTAGACAAAAAGAGCAATTAGTAATCATGACACAGAATTGGAACACATACAAAACACCCTTTCTAACTGACCTCTTTCCTTTTGTTAGGTGGAAAGCAGTAAGAAATGTATGATTTTAATAGCACAGACACAGTACTGAATTATCATTCTTAGAGTTGACCTAATGGTAGGTGGAGACAGGTGTCTGATGGAAAGTACCTTTCCTACTAATTATGTTTCCTTTCATAAATTACTTAAATATTTCCACAAGAAATTTATTTCTTACGTTGACTTACAATCATCAAGAGGCAAAAGTTAAAACAGGTCAGAAAAAGTCATAGTTATAGTGTGAAGAAGACTGTTTAGAAATTAGGGGCCCAGCTTTGAGGTGGGGGGGGGGGGGGGGGGGGTGGTGGTGCGTGTAGTGGCAAAAGGGCAACTGGGAATATGCAAGAAAGAAGCCTTACCTGCTTCTCTTGCTTAGGGCCAAGCCAAGCTCTTTCTACTAGTTGCTTACACGTTGCTAGCTTAAAAGTAAAATTTATGCTGGTCATAATCTACCCTACCCCATGCCCTCCAATTCCTGCCAGTTTAAAAGTAACCACAAAACTGATTGTTTTGTGAAGGTAGCAATATTTCCTTAAAATCCAGATGGATGGAAGTGTCTTTGTACCTGAGTAACTTCCAAATTTCTGTAGTTAACACATGCTGATAGGTATACATATTACTGAATTTTCCTTATTATATATGCAAATATGCCATTCTATACATTAGTGGCATATCTGCATTTCTAAATATTTTGTGTATATAACCAAAACTCTGTTTTTCAGTAAGCCCCTAACCTTCCTGGCTATCTTCTTTATACCTGGCTTATTACCTATCTTAGATTTATCAGTTGCTTTATTTACCAGATGAATCCATGTGGTTTT